GGCTCACCAGCAGCTGCACCATGGCCACGTGGCCCTGGATCACTGCCAGGTGCAGGGGGCTCTGCTTCCTGCTGTTCTTCACGTTCACGTCACAGCGACCCTGCCAATGCAGCAATTGCAGCGGGGAATGTGGGGCAGGAATTGCAGCAGGGGCAGGAATGAACCAGGGGATGTGGGGAAGGAATTGCAGCAGGGGGAGATGGGACAGGAATTGCAGCAGGGGGACATGGGGCAGGAATTGCAGCAGGGAATGTGGGGCAGGAATTGCAGCAGGGGCAGGAATGAATCAGGGGATGTGGGGCAGGATTTGCACCAGGGGGAGATGGGGCAGGAATTGCAGCAGGGGCAGGAATGAATCAGGGAATGTGGGGCAGGAATTGCAGCAGGGGCAGGAATGAATCAGGGAATGTGGGGCAGGAATTGCAGCAGGGAATGTGGGGCAGGAATGAACCAGGGAATGTGGGGCAGGAATGAACCAGGGAATGTGGGGCAGGAATTGCAGCAGGGGGAAACGGGGCAGGAATGAACCAGGGGAGGTGGGGCAGGAATTGCAGCACAGGGAGATGGGGCAGGAATTGCAGCAGGGAATGTGGGGCAGGAATTGCAGCAGGTAATGTGGGGCAGGAATTGCAGCAGGGGGATGTGGGGCAGGAATTGCAGCACAGGGAGATGGGCAGGAATTGCACCAGGGAATGTGGGGCAGGAATGAACCAGGGGGACGTGGGGCAGGAATTGCACCAGGGAATGTGGGGCAGGAATTGCACCAGGGGATGTGGGGCAGGAATTGCAGCAGGGAATGTGGGGCAGAAATTGCAGCAGGGAATGTGGGGCAGAAATTGCAGCAGGGGAGGTGGGGCAGGAATGAACCAGGGGATGTGGGGCAGGAATTGCACCAGGGAATGTGGGGCAGGAATTGCAGCACAGGGAGATGGGGCAGGAATGAACCAGGGAATGTGGGGCAGGAATTGCAGCAGGGAATGTGGGGCAGGAATGAACCAGGGAATGTGGGGCAGGAATGAACCAGGGGGATGTGGGGCAGGAATGAACCAGGGAATGGGGGGCAGGAATTGCACCAGGGAATGTGGGGCAGGAATTGCACCAGGGGATGTGGGGCAGGAATTGCACCAGGGGATGTGGGGCAGGAATTGCACCAGGGAATGTGGGGCAGGAATTGCAGCAGGGGGAGACAGGGCAGGAATGAACCAGGGAATGTGGGGCAGGAATTGCACCGGGGGAAATGGGGCTGCAGAAATGGGAATGTGGGGCCTGGCAGCTCCCAAACCCCACTGCACCTTTGCTGAGTTTAGCCAAGCTATCTGTTCCTCACACTGATTTGTCAGACAATAAAATCCTTTCCTGACGCAGAGATGGGGCAGCTGAGACATGTTTTAAAAACTTTTATTCTATTTTCAGTCTCATGTGAAGGGTGAGAAACACAGATGTTATAATTCACACTATCATAATCAGAAGTCAACTATTTCCTAATTACAATACACTATAATGGCCTTTTGGCTTATCAGTTTTAGTGATACCATATTGTAGAGGCTTTGAAGTCAATAATGTAAAATTACACCTCATGGGACCCTGGAAAAGCAGGAATTGCACTGGGGAAGATGGGGCTGCAGAAATGGGCATGTGGGGCCTGGCAGCTCCCAAACCCCACTGCACCTTTGCTGAGTTTAGCTGAGTTATCTGCTCCTCACAGAAGCACCAATTTGTCAGACAATTTCACTGACAGGTGTTTGACAAACTTTTTCTTGATTTTGGTTTTATTTCTCACCTCTTTGATGAGAATTTCAGCCACTTCCATGTGGTTGTTGAGAGCAGCAAGGTGCAGGGCAGTGAATCCATCTTCCTTTTTGGAATCCACCAGCTGTCGAGCCCTGGCCAGAATCTTCTTGATGGCTCTGCAGGGTTGGAGAGGTTATTAAAGATGGAAAAATGAATTTCTTGAATCCTCAGAATTTCCTGAATTCTCAGAATAAATTGCTCAGGAGTCAGCAATGCCCATGTTTCACCATGGCACCAGCAATGAAGAGCAGTCCCTCAAACCCACAATTACAAGAACACAACAAAAGCCTTCAGTTACCTTTAATAAAGCAGGGGAAAGCCACATTGCTTTGAAAATAATGAGATTTATTTTTGGAAGAGCTCCAGAGGCTGAACTAAGACCCAAATATCTGAGACTGTCCACACACAGAGATTTCCCAGCCTAGGGAAGCATGAGAAAGATGGGGAAAGCAGGCAGGAGTTTCCTGTGAAGGAGCCAATCCTAAACCAAAAAATATTTAACCAACTACCCAGAACCACATCTGCCACCTCCTCAGCCAGCCAGCACAAATTAACACCTGAAAAAGGCATAAAAATGGAAAAAAAAAAA